AAGTGAATTAGAAGCACAGTTTTGAAACTACTGCATGAAACTCCCACTTTGCTTCATACCTGAAATTACTCTCTTGCTTGCTAAAAACAACAGGGTCACCTGGGCCAAGCAAATATGTGAGCTTCAGATTGTATTCAAAATAAAGATATATTCACAAGTTATTGGATAGGCAATTTTACATATTTTCAATTAAGCAGGCTGAATAGCCAAAGCCTTTTTAGTCCATTTATGAGTCATACAGAAGCAGATACACAGAAGCAATTAATTTTGACAACAAAACCTAAGCTTTTTATCTCTGTATTCTCTAATGCATTCCAAGTACTAAACACTCAAATACAAAAATGTCAAGTAGTGAGTCTAGTTTGAAATATAAATATGACGTCTGACTTGCTTATAAGCAGTTTGGCACTAGATAACATGATGTGCAAATAGTTTCTCTGTAAAAAAAAATCATTCAAATGAGTTTTTTCATCATATGCATGATACATTTTCATCGCAGTACACTTTGAAGGTATGCTCTGATTCTGCATGCCATGTGACTGACACACGGGCATCGTTTTCCTGTTCTTCAGTTGAATGATTGTAGATCTCGACTTCTTGCTCCCATAATATCAGATGTCTTCACAGACACTCTTAAAGAAAAAGTAGTTCAGTTTTACAGCTGAAATGAGCATTGCTTTCCTGCCTCTCCCATCACCCCCCTTTTAAGAAAGAAAGCATTAATTGAATTGCTATTTGCAGTTCACTAGTTCCAAAATGAAGAATCCTTTGGGGTTTTTTCCATGTTTCTAATCCTTTTGACGTTTTTCATTTAGAGACAACCACAGAATTTTTTGGTGGGCTTGATTGTAGTACATTCAGAGCAAATAAATTGGCATTTTTTTCCTTCTGTGAATTCTCTATGCTTCCTTGATAATACTTTCTCCTGAACTTAGTGCAATTCTTAACGCATAACTATGGATCATCAGGGTTAACAATGACTCAAAGAGTACTCCTTGACTCAGACTTAAATAGAGAAAATGTTTATCTGCAGCAAACTATTTTTTAATAGACTGGTTCTTAACACAAAGCAATCTTTTTTATTATGTAGATGGTGGCACCATCTCTACAAAGTAAACCTGTTAAAGCATCAGAGATGTGGAAGGCTAACTAGACACAGACATTGATCCCACTTGAAAATCTAATCCTTTCCCTGGTTTTGTTTTGGTTTTGGTTTTGTTTTTTCCTTAATTGGTACAAGAATCACATAACATGATTATAAATAGGTCTGTGCATCTGTTGGCCTTTCACAGCTTTTCAATGAATGAGATACCTTTAATTTAGTCAGTTAGATTTCTTCCTTATAGTCACTTTTAAAACCTTGACACTGCCGTAACTATTTTTCTTCACCCATAAATTAATTCATACCTTTTGAGATGAAGAATGTGTTTCCACAGAAGATTTCTCCAAAACAGAGTGAAAGATCACTCCTCTGGGTAAAGAAAAGGTAGCAAAGAGTTGCCAGTTCAACCTCCTGATGTCTCCCATAGTTGTCCAGGAATTTTCTCAGTCTTTACTATAGTTTTATGCTCCTGTACAGATGCAGAATTTACAAAATACCCATTTTTGGCCAAATAAACATTTTGTTTCAAAGCTCTGATGTTGTTCAGGAATTCCCAAGCTCCTACTTCTTCCAAGAGATCTACCTTGGAAGTTGCCCGTACATGTTCAGGGACACAAAAACTTGCTAGTGTTATTTTCCTCATTTGTAAAATACCTGTCAATATCCACAAGGATTATTTCAGTCTCTATGAGAAAGCACTTCCAGGTAAGAAAGTACCATTCAGCATGAAGATTGTGGTGTGCATTTCTAGGAATAGTCCAGCAGTGAAGTTACTGAACTCCTCAGATCTATTCAGCAAACAACCAAGGCTACATCCTCATACAGGCTGCTTGCTTTCTTGACTGTTCTTGATTTCTTAATATTGAAAAATGAGTCATTCCCTTCCTGGTCATTTACATCCTTGATATTTTCTCATTATTCACTTCAGATTAGAGCTGAAGGCTTTCAACGTTCATGGCAAATCTGTAGCCTTCAGCGAAAATTTTCAACTCTGAATTTTGTCAAGTAAGAGAAAACAACTTTGACACATTTAGACTCCCTGACCTTTTATGGATGAAAATGAGCAAACACTCAACACTTTGATGTAAAAGACTACAGAGGGGAACACTCAGTTGTCAGTTTAGCCAATACACCTCTGAAATGAACAAGGTGAATGACAAGCTATTTGCAGACATCTGCAATTCCAGTTTCCAATCTAAGGACATACAGCAATTCTGCAGATCATCTTGTGATGGTGGAAGGAAACAGGAATTTGTGCAGGAACCTACTAAACAGGAAAAGAGCATACAACCTGGCTGAGCACTTAGCACTGTTACAATACATTCAGGATCATGTTTACTATAAAAATAAAAATGAATTATATGTATAGGTAGGTCGTGACAACATTACCAGGAGAAGTCCTAAAGAAATGAAGAGAGATTTCAGGTACTTGGGGGAAAAGATTAAGGGGTCGGGGGCGCAAACTGTGTTCAGCTCCATCCCTTCAGTTGGGGGGATGAATGAAGAGGAATATCAGAGAACTCAGCAGATTAATTTGTGGCTCCAAGACTGGTGTTACTGTCAGGGCTTTGGATTTTTTAATCATGGGTTGGTATACAGGGCACCAGACCTTTTGGCATTAGATGGAATGCATCTGTGCCAGAGAGGGAAAAGGATCTTGGGGCAGGAGTTATCTGGGCTCATTGAGAGCGCTTTAAACTAGATTGGAAGGGGGAAGGGGGCAAAACATCAGCCCATCCAAAGTGCATCTATACCAATGCACACAGCATGGGTAACAAACAGGAGGAGCTTGAAGCTGTGATGGAACAGGAAATTATGATGTAGTGGCTATCACAGAAGCATGGAGGGATGTCTGCCATGACTGGAGTGTGACAGTTGATGGCTACAAGCTCCTTAGAAGGGGTAGACAAGGAAGGAGAGGCGGTGGGGTGGCACTGTATGTTAGGGACTGTTATGATTGCTTTGAGCACAAGTGTAGTGAAGACAGCATGGAGTGTCTTTGCATTTGGATGAGGGGGAAGGCCAACAGGGCAGATGTTGTAGTAGGATTCTACTATAGGCCACCCAACCAGGACAGAGAGGTGGGTGAAATATTCTACAGACACTTAGGTGAAATCTCATGATCGCTTGCCCTTGTTCTTGTGAGAGGCTTTAACTTCCCAGACATCTGCTGGAAATACAACACAGCAGAGCGGGACCAGTCCCGGAGATTCCTGGAATGTGTGGGAGACAACTTCCTGATGCAACTGGTGAGAGAACCAACCAGAGGAGGTGCCCTGCTGGATCTCCTCTTTGTGAGCAGAGGACTGGTGGATGATGTGATGGATGGAGGCCAACTAGGGCACAGCGATTGTGAAATAATAGTGTTCTCTATTCTTAGAGAGGTCAGGAAAGGGCTAAGCAGGACTGACATACTGGACTTCCAAAGGGCTGTCTTTGCCTTGTTTAGACACCTGCTTGACAGGATCCCTTGGGAGACAATCCTGAAGGGTATAGAGGTCCAGGAAGGCTGGGTGCTGGAGAGCTGCCAGTCAGAGAGGGACCTGGGGGTGTTGATTGACAGCCCGATGAACAGGAGCCAGCAGTGTGCCCAGGTGGCCAAGAAGGCCAATGGCATCCTGGCTTGTGTCAGCAATAGCCGTGGCCAGCAGGGACAGGGAAGGGATCTGCCCCCTGTACTCGGCACTGGTGAGGCCGCCCCTCACTACAAAAAGGACATGGAATGACTCGAGCGTGCCCAGAGAAGGGCAACGGAGCTGGTGCAGGGTCTGGAGCACAGGTTGTACCGGGAGCGGCTGAGGGAACTGGGGATGTTTAGTCTGGAGAAGAGGAGGCTGAGGGGAGACCTCATTGCCCTCTACAGCTCCCTGAAAGGAGGTTGCAGGGAGCTGGGGATGAGCCTCTTTAACCAAGTAACAAGCGACAGGACAAGAAGTAATGGCCTCAAGTTGCACCAGGGAAGGTTTAGACTAGATATTAGGAAGCATTTCTTTACAGAACGGTTTGTTAGGCATTGGAATGGGCTGCCCAGGTCAGAGGTGGAGTCCCCATCCCTGGAGGTGTTTAATAGTAGAGTTGACAGTGCTGAGGGATATGGTGTAGTTGGGAACTGTCAGTGTTACATTAACAGTTGTACTGGATGATCCTCAAGGTCATTTCCAACCTAGCTGATTTTGTGATTATATGATATAAATGAAATAAATACCCTATCGAGTCTTTACCTGCTTGATTCAAAATTTTTTCACAATTTCATTATAAGTAAAAGATAAAAACTGTAGATTCACAAAATTTTAATGGGTTTTTTCTTTTTTATGGTACAGACCTGGTATTCATACTAGTGGGCTTAAATTTATTACATGGCAAAGTAAACATGAAATTTATGACAGAATTTGCATCTGGCACAAGTGAATTTTAAGGAGACCACAGTTTAGAAAGCCTCTAGTCCTGTAAATGGAGATTGCCAGGGCATTTTACCTTCCAGCTCCAAGTCTTGAAACCAATAACCTGGAATGTGCTCTGACATATATCCACCCCAGTTCAAAGATATCTAAACCACACCAAATAAGACATAACATCTGACTGTGCTAACTCAAGTCATTTAAGGTATGTTAAATAGTAAGACTGTAGAAAATGTTTACCATGTTTACCATGTTCAAAGAGGGAACAGTATGCAAAATGGTCACTACTTTTGACAGTGGTTTCACAGCAGAGAAAGACATTAATGTTTATAACAAAGCTGCCTCCCAGACAAATTCTGTGGCATTAGGATTCAATAAAGAAAAAAAAAAAAAAAGGTACCAGTTTATTCATTTTAGGAAGAGAGTAAGAGACTGAGAAGGGCATAGGTCAAAAGAGAAAAGTGGTACAGGTGTGTGGTATATTGAAAGTGAGGACTTACTGTGCATTTGCAGCTCCTGTCGTGTCAAGTGTTCCTATTATTGCTATTGCATATAGTGTGGTGGTGAGGAGGGAATTGGTTCAGAACTTTGGCTCCTAAAATGAAAGTTTTGGAGAGTCTGAGACCTCCCAGGAGCATTTGGGCCACACAAAGCTGATGTTTTGCATTTTCATCACAGGCTGTTTTGCCCTGACAGTTTTCTGTGTCTTTTTAAATGAAGAGAACAGACAAAGGCAGCAGTGTAAGTCAAATTCCCCTGAAGACAATGTAACTAGGCCAGCTGACACGCTGAGGCCTTGCTGAATAGAACAAGTGCTGCTCATTCCCCCTGCCACAATAAAAGCTGTGTCAAATACCTAAAAGCTTTGTAATGTCCATGCAGCCTTAATTTAACTCGCTTCTGTGCATGCACTGTGTACGTATACTTGTGGTTGATGAAATAAAAGCTTCCAGCTGATGGAAGGTAACATTCACTTCATTTGCAAACTGTGCTTAGTTTTCCCTGACAGCTCAAAACTTCATGAAATTTCAAAGAAAGAAGTAGAACTACTTTCTTCTTACAAACTTCCCCTCCTGATCCTGCCTGCAAAACATATAGTACGTTGTCCTAACCTGGGAGGTCCTAGACCCCTTCCAAGGAAAATGGTAGTAAACACGGAGAAATGTTTGAGAACTTTAACAGCAGACAGGCTCTCCTGTGTGTATGCATGTATGTGCATATGCATACATGCCTTTCTATGTCAGCTGTTCATAACTGATTAACGAGTTTTCCCAGCTACCAGACAACATTACTTTTCCAGGGCTAAAGTTGCTGGTTCAGTTCTGTAGGGAACGGAACGTGTCGCTGAGAACTACCAGAGCAAGTGCAGCAGAGTACAGTGAGGAGTGCACCTCATCGAGTTCACTCTAGACATTTGCTAAAAAGCAGGTGCTGTAGAAGTAGAAATGCACTTTCAGGTCTCCTGGGTTCTGATTGAATTGCTAAAGGGGTGAACTGTGTTCCCATTGTGTTTTCCATCATTCTCTTTCAAGAACACACTGTTGATTAAGGGCAGGAATTCTGAAGCTGACTCCTTAATTCAAAGTGTGCAACTCTTAGAGGGCTCATGGCAGGACCTTGCATACCCTTAGTTGTTCAATAGACCTGAATGTGAGCAAGATGCTGATTTACAATTGCATTATGTTTGGTATTAAATATACTGTAATCCTGAATACTGAACTCTAGTTTTCATGGTCTAGTTTGTGCCAAACCATGTGATCAGAAATCCCCATCTGACCCTAGCTCTACATGTAGAAGTTTTGCTGACAGCTGCAGAATCTGGTGTAAATCCCTTGGTTAAATCCTAAGCAATGAAAGACAGTGAGTATAATCAATGCAACTGGAAAAAGTGATTTGGTTTTGTGGCAATGAATTGAAAGTGTGGTATAGAAATGAAACTGCTAAAATTCCATGTATCTCTTTACATACACACTGTTGCACAAAGGATATGCTTTACTGCATTCCTGGAAGCAATGAGCAAGGGATTTAAAAAGGGAACTATATATTCAAAATGTATATAAAAAATATGGGAAATTTTCTCCTAAAGGCCTTGTGACAGAGCTATAAATACAGATAACAGCAGCAGGTTAGATGCATTTTAGAATCCAGAGTCTTGTTCTACTGTGCCTTAACCAAGCAACTTTAAATACAGGGGTGGTTTTGTTTTGCTATTATTTTTTTCTTTGTATATATAATAGATTCATAGAATAGTTTGGGTTTGAAGGGACCTTTAAAGGTCTGGAGTTGCTACCATTATTAAGAATTGCTTTTTTTTTTTTTTTTTTTTTTTTTTTTTTTAGATAATGTAGATATGTTTCTTTAATATTTTTCTGTTGTATATAAGTGATCTATCAAGTTTATTGGCTTTCACAACATACCCCAGAGCTCCACCTTTTTTGTGCAAGCTACTAGTTCCATTTCCAACAAGATCTACTTTACAATCTTTGCTAATAGTCTTATAATTTTCTTCACTACTAGACTCTATTTGATATCACAGGGCTTGTGCTCAAGTAAAGCAATTTAGCAGAGAAAACAGCATTATTAACCTCTGACTATTGTGTAACATTAGAGCAACAAAGATATTTGTAGTTGTATTAGTCTACTTTATTTTTACAGTAATGGAATTCTTAAATTTTCTCACTGACAGAGGGTAAGACCTACATCAACATTTAGTCTGAAATTTTTAAAAAAATGGAGGATGAATTTAGGCTCTGACGTATCCTAGGACATTCCAAGTCACACCAAATATTCACAGCAGTCAAAAATAGCTCCCTTGGAGTACAACTGGAGGAGCTCCACGTCAGCTGTCAGTATTGCATAGCCTATATGGACTTGGACAAGGTGACTGTTCATCACCTCCAGCTCTGTGCGTATTAAGACTCCTGCCATTGAAACACATTTGATTTCAGTAGGGGACAGCATACCTCTGGTATGTCAACAGAAACACATAAGAATTACATAGAGATCTTTCTGGAATTGGCATGGATTACATTTTGCACTAATGGGTATCTTATTTTTAAAGAGATAAATTGCTGGAACTTCCTCTTAGCAAAACATCTCAGAGTAGAAAAATAATTAGAAAGGACAATAATTAGATCAGAACAAGAAAATGACTGAGAATTGGAGATTTTCCTTTGACAGAATCATCACTGGGGATGTGGGGATTAGAATAGTGAGGAACAGTAGTGTGAACTACCCTGACTTCCAGCAAGATTGTGATACTTTCTCCATGACAGCAGAAACGTGGAGGCATAAAATCACTACCCTGTTGAGCAGCAATACTGAAAGATCAGTTATCAAGAGCACCCTGACAAAGCACGGTGATACCTCAAGGGCAATGTCCCAGGGTACATAGAAGCTCCAATTCTATTCAGAATACTGATAAGCAGCTCTGCTTAAAATAGAGTATATAGCTATTTTAGCGATTTCGTTATGAAAATCTTGGCCTGGACCTCAGAACAAGATGAAATTCAGGAAGATATGCAAAATTAAATGTTTGGATTTGGTAACTCACCCTCAGAAAGACAAGCTAGTGAAGCAGTAGTACCACAGGAGAAAATTATGGTGATATTTGCAGATAAACAATTAACATAATCCAACAGTGTAGTATTATTGAACAGAAGCAGGTTTTATTCCAAGGTGTGCTAATAGAGCTGTCATATGAAAGGTATGTCTGAAACTGTCAGAGATTAAGAAACATTCACCTTTCTGTAACAACTCTGGCTTTGTTCAATACTGCAGTTGAATGGAGTCCTCTGTCCTGTAAAACCATTTTTTTCCCCTGTTGTGCAAGGGGAAAAAACACTATACAATATACTGAAAATTTATGGAAAAAAATGTACAGTCAAAATAATCTGAAGTTTTCTTCATGGGGAAACACCTACTTCATTAAAATACAACCACAGGAGGTCCACGTTATTGGCAAGAACTGGACAATATTCTTTATTCAAGTAACAGCACTATTTTCGTGGGAGAAGCCACTCTGTGAAACAAGGACTGCACTATAGTTTGCAACAGTCACTTTCCCAGAGGGGTACACAGCAGTGATGTTTTTAATACCATACAGATCATCATCACAATGCATTAAATAGTTAGTGACAGACTGTTTTGTCAATAGAGAGATTATTTATAAATAGGATGGCTGGAAGCTGACTGTTATTGAGTCAGGAGTCACAGAAAACTTCACAGTGAAAGGAAGAATTAGAGTCCTTGGCTCTTAATTCAGCCCTTATTCATGAATTTCATCCTAAATTGTCTTAAAAATGGAATTTAAAAATCAAATGTAGTTGCTAATAGGCATCTCATTTCAAGCTGCAAATAAACTATATCAGACTAAAACAACAAGGTTGCAGTTTAGGTGCAGTGTCAAAAATAGACCATGATACAGAAAGCCTGAAGTTATCTTTAAATACTTTCAGATGACACAGAATGTTAATTAAATGAGTGTTTTGCTGCACATAATTGACAGGGCTCTTTCAGCATAATAAAAATAAAGCATCGGAGAGCTCTGTGGAATGCCCCCCTCTGGAGAACTGACCCAGCTTTTAAGAAATCTCTTTGGGGGTTCTTGATAATCAGTGGAAAGAGGCCTTTAAGGAATAATTCCTCTTCTTTTAGCTACTGAGAGAGTAAATGTCACAGATGCTTCAGCAAAGTGTACAGATTGTTATGCTAGTATCTACCAGGCTTTCCTAAGAGAAGCTAAGCACCTGGATGAGGATTGTTTCATTTTGTCAATCCTAGGGAGAGTTATATTGCTCACTTGTTGGTCAGAACATAATATTAAATCTTACCTTGTGCAAGTAATGACAACATAGCCAGTATAACTAACATCTCCATAAATCACAGTCAGACAAGCCTACTTTTGTGTCAGGTCTTTATCTTTCAATAGCCAGTCCAGCACTCATGGGATATGTGATATGTCAATATGTACACAGTTGTGCAAGAGCATTATTAAATATACAACTAAACTGAAGATACTAACTAAAGTAAGGGCGAGTAATAAATTAATTGAGCCTGAGGGCTGGCTTCCCTCACCAGCTGTGCAACAGACAATGAAATCCAAAAAGTTCTAATTCTTCATCGGGAGTAGAGGGGACAAATGTTTCATTATTTTGCTCATTTTTCATGCTGTTGGGAAGGAGACGTTGACTTCCTAAACAAGAGATGAGATGGAGATGAAGTTTTTGACATGCTGTTTGCCCTCAGCATTTAACAGGATTAGGAATCCCAGTGCCTCAGTAGACCTCCTTCATTTTGTTTGTAGTTGCAGTAAATGGTGATGTGAGAAGAGGCCCAGGAATCCTTGTGGGGATGTGTCAAAACCCACTTTAGGATTCCTGTCTGATATCCTAATAGCCATGTCCACAAAACACAAGTACCATTTTAGAAGTTGTGCTCGTTTCCTATACCCACACAGAATTCTGCTTTTCCTGTGGTATAGGTAATTTGCCTCACCTCAAACGATGGCCCATGAGTTTCAAGGGCAGTCAGTCGCTGAGAAGTAGTAACTTCATAATCTCTACAGAGATTGTGCCAGAGCTACATGTATTCTTTTTATTAAACTAATGATTCCAGTAGTGATTGTAAGCACCTAGTACAGCTGGGACAAGAAGTACCTAA